AACCCTACCATACCCTTGCATTTCTAATGCAAGTGCTTCTAACTCAGTTACACCAAACCCGAATTCGCCCAATTCCTGAGGTTCACTCTTGACAGAAGTTAAAACTCTCTGGCTGCTACATTCACCCACATCAACACCCTGTCCTCTCTCAATTGCTCTTCTTCTCCTTTTCTTGGTTATTGCTTCTTCAAGCTCTTTTCTTTTCTCCTTGTGCTGAACCAGCTGCTGCAAAAACGCAGGATTTTGCATTGCTCTAGCTAAAAACGACATCATTTGCTGTTGCTTCTTTTCTGTGCCTTGTAGCCTTTCCTCCATTGCTTGAAGATAAACCCTTGTGTTCTGCTGTTCTTGTCTTAATTTCACTAATTCCATCATTAAAGCCTGTTTATCTCGACGCAGTCGATCGATTTCTTTGTCTAATCCAAATCTTCCAACTTCAACAAAAGCACCCATCGATTGATGTGAGCTCACAGCCACAGTTCCATCCTGAGCTGGAGCTTTTCTTCTCTTGATGTTCTTCAAAATATGCCTCTGTCCTCTTAAAAACCCTTCATTTGCAAATTCCCATTTATCAGGATCTATTTTTCTAAAACCCTGCAATACCCATCTTCCATAATCACTAACCCAATTCAAAAATTTTAAAAAAATTTTATTTTTATTGGAGAAAAAAGGATCTAGATTCAGCAATCCAGAAGAAAATTTGAAGGAGATTTATTATTTTATTCATGCCTTTATCTTTTACCCATTAAAAAAAACAGAGAGATTGATCAAGGACCCACGTGAAAATATATTTTAAAAGACTCTAATCAGTGAAATTCTCAATGCAAAATATATTAAAAAATTACTCAACGGCACAAGAAGAGAAGCATTATATATCCATTCAACTGGATAGAGGAGGTGGCAGATTCCAGAACCTACAAGAAGGGTATTCTACTTTAACAAACAGACAAATTAAAAACCATTTTTTTATAAAAACACCGCAGAGTGTTCCAGAAAGAGGAAAGGAAAGTTTCAGAGATAATTGAAAATCTAAGAACTCACTCGAAACTTCCTCTTAAAATATTATATTATTAGAATTTCCAGAAGAAACTAGTACTTCCAGAAGAAACTAGAACTTCTCTTCTTCTTCTTCTTCTTCTTTTTTAATGGCTGAAATTAAAAAATCAAAATTACACCCAGAACAGAGTAGAAACAGGGCATTAAGAAAGACCCAAAAGAAAAGGCCAAATACTGATTGAAATTGGATCCAGATGAAAACCGTAGTTAAAAATCTGATTTTAGCATTGAAATCCCACTTAAACCAGAATGAAATGAGAAACTGAAGAAGAGAGAATCATTAGAAACAGGGCATTAAGAAAGAAAAAGAAAAAACAGAGATACCGATTGAATTCAGACCCAGATGAAATTCTTAATCAAAAATCTGATTTTGGCATTTGAATTCCATTTCTAACCAGAATGATATCGGAAAATGAAGAACAGAGAATCATAATTCATTTAAAAAATTTAGAAGGACTCACATAAGTATTGAGCTGCCTGACGAAACTGGAGAAGTTATTGTGCTTGAAGTACCTGGGAAGAAGATTAGTAGAGAAACTATACGGATCCCATACAACAAAGCTGGTACCTCCTCTGTTCCACGAAACCATATAATTAGTATTCGGATCATCAACCATGTCAAACGTCTTGGTCAGAAATGGCGGTGGCCCTGAATCATGAAGACCCTCCATTGGCTGCGGAGGTGGCAGTACTGGCGGCTCACCTCTACCACCACCCGACTGTGATAAACCCGAAACAGAGTACTCCACCTTGACCGGATAAAGCGGATTCATGTTCAATTTTTTTCTGAAATTCATCCAATTTTTTTTCTCCTTTCAGATTTATCGAATTCGGATCTTGAATCATAACCGGGTCAATGCGAATTCAAGAAGTTGAAAACTGGAATTGAAAGACAAAACATGGCGACACATGAAGAGGCGAAGTTGAGAGTGAAACCCAGAAAGCGAAATGGAAGAAACGATGAGGGGAAACAGGAGGAGGAGAATGAGGCAGCGATGTGGTGACAAAAAAAGGGAAACTAATTAGAAAGGGGAGAAAAGCAAAACAGGAAAGTAAGATTTTTTTTTTTTCTATCTTCCTTCTTCTTCTTCTTCTTCTTCTGGGTTGGGTGAGTGAGACCCAGAAAGAGAAACGGAAGAAAAGAGCAGCGGAAACAGGAGTAGGAGAGTCAATCAGGTGGTGATGTGACGATAAAACAGGAAACTGATTTAGAAAAGCAAAATAGGAAGGTAGGATTTTTTTTCTTCTTCCTCTCCTTCCTCTGGGTTGGGTGGTCGTTGAAGCCGTTACAAGTTGGTAGTATGTCGTACACGTATACGAAGGAGTCACAAAAGTGATTGAAGGGATTGTTTTATAAGAGGTTTAGAAAGTTCTAGACTCGTGAGTAGTTTGCTCCGGAAAATAAATAAATTTAGTTTCTTAATTTGGAAAAGTGCGTTTATGCTAGGGGGAGAGAGAGGGGGGGGAGGGCTTACCACTTAGGAAGGTTCTCGAAACTCCATTAGGAAAGTGGAGGAATGGTGTGCGGTGCGTGGGGTTACAATTATTAAATAATAAATACATATTATATATTAATTTATAAATAATATATTATTATTATATTTGTAAAATACATCTTATCCATTGGAACTCTATAAAAGTAATATTTTCTTCCTTTTAACGAGAATATTATTAAAAAAAAAAAATTCAATCCATGTGATTAAAAAATATTTAATATTTAATTGAATTTAATATAAATAAATAAAATCATATCCTTAATCTTAGTAAAATTAATAAATATATTTTTTTAATTTTAATTTTATCAAAATTCAAATTCACCATTTCTGCGGCATTGTTCTTCTCCATCTCGGTACAGCATCAAATCAAGAGGATTGAAATTGCCAAAACGCCACCGTTTTTTCATCCCGAACAAGCCCGACCGCTGTTCAACACATTCCACCCGCTGAGTTTAAAAACGCCTCAAATCCTGAATGTGGCGCGTCTCTCAAATCAGTACAGAGAAACGAGACGAAGCGCGAGCATAAAATTCGCGGAATTACCTCTCCGTACTTCCAAATTTCTCGGTGACAATTTTTGCGGCGAGTCTATCCCGATCGCTTTGATTCGTGAAATCATGAGAAGCTTGACGGGAGAAAAACAATGCCGGAATCAAAATTGAAGCTACTCGTTCTTGTTTTGCACGACGATCGGTTCGCTACGCGAGGAGAATCTCCCAAATCCACGACTCCCGGCCGCGCTCCGGCTCCGGCTCCGGTAGGAAAATAAAATAATCAATTTGGTTTTCAATTTGGATAAGTGTGTTTATGCGAGAGAGAGAGAGAGAGAGAGAGAGAGAGAGAGGGATTTAAGACTTCGGAAGGTTCTGGAAACTCTACTAGGAAGGTGAGCACGGTGGAGGAATGGTGTGCGGTGGGTGGGGGTATTAATTATTAAATAATATTATAATTATTTTTTAATTTATAAATAATACATTATTATATTAATAAAATATTTATCTTATCCATTGAAACTCTGGAAAAGTACCATTTTATTTAATTTATGTTTTTTATTTTTAATTTTTCGAAGTTATGGATTTTGTATTGCATATATGAACAAGTTGGAAGGGATGGTGTGGGACCTAAATTAATATTTAATTGAATA